CAACTCTTGGCTGTGTTTGTCTTTCTAAGGAAGTTCCCTAGAATTTACAGTAACTTCCTGATGTTGCTGTCACTCAGGATTGCTACATCTATCACCACTGTCTTGGTTAGCCATCACCAGTTTGTCAGTCTGGATCTGGAAGTCCCACAGGATCTTAGCTCGGTCTTTCTCCATCACCTTGATGGACAAGAGCAGAGAATATGGGACTGTTGGAATATCTATCTATCTATCTATCTATCTATCTATCTATCTGTCTATCTATCTATCTATCTATCTATCTATCTATCTAAGGAACCACAAGTCTGGGTGTTCGGGTGTTTCATTGGGTGTCCCCCAGGGGTCAGTCTTGGGTCCACTTCTCTTCATCATCTACCTCCTCCCCTGGGCACAATCCCCCGTCACCATGGGGTCCATTTTCACTGCTACGCTGATGACACACAGGTCTACATCTCCTCCAAACCCACCACTGCCATCCCTCCCACCTCCCTCACCACCAATCCACCACCACCAGACATCCGGAGATGGATGAGCAGGAACTTCCTGATGCTAAACGGCAATAAAACTGAGGCCCTGCTCATCGGCTCCAAATCCACCCTTACCATGTCACAACACACCCCAGCTCCACCCATCATCATCGACGGATTCCCTGTACCCATCTCCTCCCAAGTCAAGAGCCTCGGCGCCATTCTGGACAGCACCCTCTCATTTGCACCTCATATTCAAAATATCACCCGGACTGCATTCTTCCACCTCCACAACATCTCCAGACTCCGCCCATCACTGTCCCAATCCAGCACCAAAATCCTGGTTCACTCATTTTTCACATCCTGCATCGACTACTGCAACGCCCTCCTCACCAGCCTCCCCACCAAACTCATCAACAGACAGCAAATCATTCAGAACTCGGCCGCCCGGATCACCACCTGCACCAAATCATCTGACCACATCACCCCTGTTCTCATCCGACTTCACTGGCTCCCTGTACAACCACTACAACAACCTTCTCCTCACCTACAAAGCTCTCCACAATCTAGCCCCCACTTACCTCTGTGACCTCCTTCAGGAATACAGTGCTAACCACTGCACTGATGTGCAGCCTGGTTTGAGGACTTATTGACGTCAGTACAAAAGAGAAAGTAGTTTGAATGGAATCTGTTCAGTCACTTTACTGTAGGTGCCATTCATGGCTTTGTTGTGTTGACATCTGCAATTTCCATCTTACACTGTCAGGTTTCGTTCTGACTTTCTTGAGTCAACAACCGTGTCTTGCAATCTATTAAAAAAAAAAGGATTCATTCATCCACTTAGGATCACAAACTCCCTCACCTCCCTTGTATATGCTGACAATGACTGAATCATCAGCACATTTCACAGCAGTATGCTGTATGTCTAATTTCTTACAGTAACTGCTATGGCAACTGCAATGTGTGAACAGTAAAGTCTGGATGTGAGCCAGTGAATGAGTGAAACTAAAGGATATTATCTACCATCATACCCAAGCTTATGTTGCACCATTCAGTTAAGATGTGGGCATGATACAGCTACCCAAAATCATATCACAGTGGCAAAACCGAACTGGCTAAGCAAATACCCTGGAAACATTGCAACATGCATGTTGTTATGTCACTGTGGGTGACACACTTACTGAAGTGGGTGTTTTGAGGGAATGATGAATATCCTGCTGACAGCTTGCAAAATTTTGTTTCAAACCTCAAACCTCTATTTTACATTTATGCAACATGAAGAATAAACCATATTAGATGAGAACACCACAAAAGTAAATGTAGCACAAGATATACAAAAAGGGGTTGAAGGTTGAGGCGGTGTTATAGACAGATATACATTCTCAGGCTGAATCCAATTGTCCACCCTCTGGAAATGCGACCTGAGCCCTCGCGGACTTCAGGCCTATGAGTCCCATCAGAGGATCTTCTTTTGTTGTGTTTTGACCACTTTTCTAGCCTTTACATTTGGCATTACACTGAGCAACCTATAGGATAGGCTGCAGTAACACAATGCATTTTGATTCCCCTCTACAGCCCATGTTTCTACATATTTCTGTATCATGATATTGTTGAATATTATTTTTGGCAGACCCGATTCAAGTACTGTTTTAATAGTATACAGTAACTGTTTAAAGCCCCTACAAGGAACTTTCATTTTGAGTTGATTTTGGCGACCCTGTGGACAAAAGCGGTAGTGTTTTGCTGGAATGAAGCCTACATTTCCCATGAGCTCTAGCACGTATTGTCGTAAAGACGCTTACCTGGCTCGCGCATGTGTTTGTTTTGGGGATGAATGAAACAACAAGACGGGAAAACTTTGCCCCCGCTCCTATCGGGGATCCCAGCTCACCTCTGCCGCGCCCCAGCTCCACCTCTCCGGCGTAAGCGCCACCAGGGGTAAATGCAGCGGTCAGCTGGTAAGGCTGAAGGCCTGTTTGGCGAGCACTTCCACGGCTTCTTGGACTGAGTATGGAGCGGTGCCTCGCCTCTTTATTTCTCTGCACTCGCTGGACCCTGTTGGCGCCTGGCTGGTACCTGTCATCGGCCCGGATGAGGTGTTCCTGCTCTCCTCGTCCCCGCTGGCGCAGGGTGAATCTGCACATCCTGCGGTCTCTGTGTGTGGCTCCCCGGACAGCTAATGCCGTGGACCCGCCGGCTCCTGCCAGGATTGGGCTGGTAAATGCTAGCTCGCTAGCTAACAAAACGTTTATCCTGAAGGATTTCCTGACTTCCTGAGGATTGGATTTTCTCTGTGTGACTGAGACGTGGCTGACTGTTGGTGAGTCCAGTGCTTTCACAGAACTTTTACCCAATGATTGCTGCTATTTTAACTCCCCGCGGACGTCGGGTCGAGGAGGAGGAATAGCGACTATTTATAAGAGTCACTATAAATGTAAGCAGCTAGGTAAGATGACGTGTGCTGTCTGAGTGCCGTAAATCGTTTCGTCCTGGAAGCGACCTGGGGCGGACCCGGAGACAGTTTCCTAAAGGTATGGATATACACTATATAGAAATAGCTTATCTTCACACTGATGGTCTCATTTGCTGTTGTAGGTCACGCACAGACATCAGCAGAAACCAGAGACTTTTGCATATCCAGTTAAAAGTTCCTTGTAGCAGCTTTAACATACACATACAATTTGTTTTTTTAGTCAGCTATTGAAAAAAAAAAAAACTTCCACGTATTGCGATGCACTGGACAATTAAATCAATGAAGTCTGCAACCCAAGCAGACCCTCTGGAAGTCTGCAGGAAGTCCACTTTAGGCCCCTTGTGGACTGGTTGTGGATTTTGACAGCCCTAAGCACTCCCAGACTTCCTGGGAACGCACCCACAAAGTCTGCAAGTTTGATGAAGTGCGGACATTTGGATTCGTCGTCTGTCAGTGGCCCTTCGAGTCAAACTATGACGCACTGCGTACCCCTCCAGCGTTAGTTTTTAACGCTCTGGGATATTACATCAGTTTAGGGTTGTTAGTGAACTTCAGTTTTCACAGGACATGTAAAGTTTCCACTTGTTAAGTAGTTATGAAGCATTTTCTTTATTTTCTGAGCCCACTAGATGGCACTCATGGTTTAAAGAGAGAGGCTCAAAGAATAGCTTTCATCCTTTTGTTGAACAAAAAGCGCCATCTAGTGGGCTCATAGAATAAAGAAACTGCTTCATGAGGCTTCATTTGGCCATCACTATTGTTAAGTGCATACAGTGGCTTTTCAAAATAAAATTCCAATATATTTTAACTTTGGTTTTAGATTTACTTTCTTTGCTTCAGGCAACAAAAGCACACGGTTAAGTCAAGAAAAAAAACATCTGCAAGTCTCGAGTCAGGTCCAAAAAGGACACAGGTGGTGACCTGCAAATCTCAAGTCAAAACCCAACTCAGGACCTGAAAGGACCCAGGTGATGACCTGCAACATGGTTTGGTGTAAAGGAAGTATGTTTGTTCCTAGCAAAATGAAGTAAACATCCCTAGTGTGGTATGCTAGACTAGCATATTATGCTACGCAGTTGTTAAAGTCACTCGGTTGATTCTTGGTTTCACACAGGACATGGACATCGATCTCCTGGTGAAAAGTTTCTTTGACCCGTCCACCACAAGTGGACTTTTACGCTCTTTATACCACACTAGTTGTCAAAAAATGACCCTGTCCGGAGCGTCTCAAACCAATGCTAAGGGTGCCTCTGTGTGTCGGTATCTGAAGGCGATGGCCAATACCCAAGTGTTTTTATTTGATGAGTTGGGAGTGCTGCAGTAGTCAGTGTAAGTTCTCTGGCAAATTGATCCTTAACAACATTTGTAGCAGCCAAATGCAAAATCATCCAGCAGCAAGCAGAAGAGTATTATAAACAGCTGTGCAGTATTTGGCCTCAAAGGTCATAGGAATATTACTCAAACTAGACTTCCTGGGTTGTATTCCATCACCACACGAGTACCTGAAGTGTCACACTCCTACCAACACAGACCCTTGCTTTTTCTTGAGGGGTCTGAACACACTGATGAGGCAAAGTGCAAGAAGAGAAGTCAGGATGACAAATTAAATGGACAGAGATAATTTCTGACCTTTCCTTCTGAGTCATGCAGGGAGAGATAACATATAAATATGAAACTAATTCCAGGTGCATGAGAGCTTTTAGTAGGAGTCTCTTTAGCACTCCAAAAGTCACAACCTTGTCTGGGAGCCGTTGACTGGTCTTTATCAAACACACATAATAAGTTAGCTTGTGGTCCTCTGCAGAAATTTGCTACTTAGTGGTGCTGATGTTTCAACATCAAGATTGTCATTTCAGTTGGGTGCATATGATTTGACATTAACATGTGTTTCAAACAGATGCACTTGCTCCATCTGTGTGAAGACAGACAAAGCAGTCCGGGGAGGAGACTGTGGCTCTATGGTGTGTTGATACAGTATGCTGCGCTTACAGCCAATCCCTCCCCCTTACACACACTCACACACATACTTCTGTGGTACTTCCTCAGCTGGCTGACTTATCATGGAGTGACTTGAACTCACTGTGAGTCAGACAGCTCTGGCCTTCAGAGTCAGACAACAAGCAGAAGCGTCTCTGCTGGCTAGGCGGTAAGTCAGCTCAGCTTAGCATGATCCTCATTCCCACAAACATCTGCTTTTATTTCCTGTGCTCCTCTGAGATTCTCAGTTAAAGGCAATGTTTTGTAGCTCTGCTTATTTGCATGTCTTACAGAGGCTCACATGCAGAATTTTATAGTTCATACACCTTAAAGCTTTTCTAAAGGATTGATCATTTATCTTTTCAAATTCATGCACACTGCATCATGTTGTAAATGTTATGTTTGACACTACTTTGTTGTTTCTGGCAGATTGTCCTCCTGATATTTAAGATGGCTGCTGAAACTACAACATATGATTACGACTACGAAACATCCAGCTATGAGGAGCCCCACGTCTCACCATGTAATTTGAACAATGTCAACTATCTCGGAGCCCAGCTATCCATCCTCTACTACTTTATGTTTGTCCTCAGTGTCTGTGGCAATGGGCTGGTCCTGGTCATCATCCATCGGTGAGTGGACCAACAAAAACTCTAAGGCTGCCTTTACACTACCATGTCTTGATGCCCAATTCCGATTTGTTGCCTATATCCAATTTTTCCTGACTGCTGTTTACATGTTCTATTCACCTTATTTTTAACAGAGACATGGAGGCAAAACAGAACTTCCATTTTTTTTTTTTCACCACTTCAGTCCAGCACTCTTGACCACTGTGTAAATATCCCACGGGATTTGCTACAGTGTCATTACTGCGCGCCTGGAAATATTTACATTACTGAAAGCAATTTTAAGGACTAACTTTAAATATTTGAAGTTAATCGTTAAAGAATAAATCACCTGGAAAGCTGTTGCTGCTCCACATAATTTAAAAGGTAACTTAGCCTACACAGAGCGGTGGAAATGTCCGTGCAGCTGCAGACGTGGATTGCCAGGAAATATCCGATCTGTCTGTTTAGATTACAGACCGATTGGCAGATATCTGATTCATATCTGATATATTTCCACATATGAAGGAGGCCTGAATCTGATCTGACAATATCCGATATCATGTGTTTGTTTCCTGTTTACACGTTCATGTTACAGATCCGATCTGTGCCACTTGAGAGGAAAAAATCGGTATTGGGTCACTTGAACCATGTAGTGTAAAGTAGGCTTAAGTCTACATGAAAACACCGAGAACACACTCGGTGTGTTCAGAAAGGCAGAAAAATAAAATGTGTATTTTACAATCTTGACACATTCACAAGTCACTTGTGGTTCATTCAGAATGGGCCAGTGTCCCACTTTTGGACCGTGACCCACCAGTTGGACACCACCGTTCTAAAGTACACACATTTACTATAACTTGGGAATTACAGTACAATATATATACATTACTAGGTACTAATTAAAGGTTGTGTGTGTGACATTCAGGGCATTTACGTAGCAAAAAATTTACTATTTGCCATGTAAATATATTTAGTGGAGTTATGGTGTCCTTCCATGTTAATGCATGTGTGTTTTCCACTGGCCACCTCATCGCTGCCGCTTTGTACTGTGCTCATACGGCGGTTACCAATGATATCGGGATGTTATTGTCTCAAAAGTAAAGCACTAGCCCTCTGGTAGTGATGGCCAAGTGAAGTATTTTCTGAGCCCACTAGATGGCGCTTTTTGTACAACAAAAGGTTGAAAGCACGCTGAATTGCCATTCTTTGAGCCTCTCTCTTTAAACCATGAGCGCCATCTAGTGGGCTCAGAAAATAAAGAAAATGCTTCATGAGGCTTCATTTGGCCATCACTACCCTCTGGTTCCCCCCTTGTTAACAACTTTAGCTCTTTCAGCACTGTTACCGTAATTTAGCACTGTTTCAGGAGTTAGTACAGTTAGCTGCTAGCTATGTTGAGAACTGTGTCCAGAAAAATTCAAACACCCTGAGTTTTGTGACGAGCCGCTTCAAGCTTGTAAGGCGTAACATCTCAGTCGTGGTTGATAATGCAGCACTTGTGGTTACTGTAGATAAGTGCTGTGTAATGCTACAGGAAACACCTCTTCTGCAGTTACTTTGTCAAAAATACAGCATCAAAAGAGTTACGTGTTTACAGAGCAGCCACACAAAGTGATACGGTAGCCTGATGCAAAGGGGTCCACTGTAGTGGCTTTACACAAAAATGACTTTTTAAATAGCTGTCCACTGTAGTGACCGCTATGCGGTAAAGGGCTAGTATACTGGGTAGTTTGAGTTTAATGTTGCCCCGGTATGAACAAAATTTTATGGAGCAGGCATAATATCTACAGGCTAACAGGCTAACAGGCACCGAGTCTACTGTTTGACTCCATGAACAAATCTAGCAACTCCAACTGTGGAGTACGAGCAGCGGAGTGTGACTATTTCCTGGAGGCCAGTGCAAACCTGGTACAAATTGAACCTGCAAAAGAATCAGTCGAAACGAATTGTTCATTTATGTTTATTAGCTCACTGTGCTTTGCTCTTCCCTCTTCTGGTTGCATCACTCCCTTGCAAAGGTCAACACAGATCCACTGAAGAATGTCAAATGTTTTGAAGGCGCATTTTTGATTGCAGTCAGCACAAACCTTGTGGACAAATACAGGCGTCTTCAAATTAAAAGCCACCCTATGTTTTGCCATGTGGAGCAGCAGCAGCAGTGGGAAGTGTTCGGTTCCTGTTAGCAACAACTTAATTCAGCTCTGACATAGTTGTGAGATAGTACACAGTGAGGCTGATATCAAAGAAATCAAATCACAAACACAATGACAGTACAGAGCCAACGCGGAGATGGCGGACCCCGCCACTAACAATGAAAACAACTGTAAAGAGAGTTAAAAACCAGGTCTCTCTTGAGAGTCCATGTCTTAATGAGATTACATGTTTAAATTAAGGTTAAATAAAATAACAGAATGTAAATACACAAATGCAAATCTTAAGGATTGTACTTTGACACTTGATTCACACATCCTTGATGTCTTCACGTCTGGAGTGTTCCTATAATTCTGTTTTTTTAATGCAATTGAAGCCGTATTTTAGGAGCATAGTTTAACTACCCTATTAAATGAGTAGACAAAATATCAGTTTGTAAAATTACCTTCACATACAAATGATTTTTAACTCCTTCAGCCAGAAAAATGTAAAGAGAGATTTTAAAGAATTTAGTCCACTTGCTGTATTCGACTCTGACATTTGGGAGGCAGAATGTACAGAGCAGTTCTATGACAGGCTTCAGTTCTACACCATTTGGGGCACAGGTGGATATGACTGGAGATGTCATCAGGTTGTCAGAAAAAAGACACACTGGGAGAGCATGAGATGGAGTCATACCAGGAGCTTCTTATGCTTGTGTCCACAGAGGGAGGAGTACAGTAGCTATCCAGCAGCTAAAGTTCCTCTCTCTTTGTGCTCCCTGAGTTACCTCCACTCTGTCACTGTCTGCCAACTCTGCTTCCTCCACCCTGATCTCCACCACTGTTCTCTCTGCCTTTGTGAGCAAACAATTTTTGGTGGTCATGGAAACGCAAATGACAATGTCAGAGATGAGCTCAGCAAAGTGTCCCCGGGCCTCGGACTGTAAGGAGTGTTTATAATGCAGTATATTATATCGGGTTGAAGAGATGCTATGTCAGCTGCACGCTGCCAGGGTGAGAGCTGTTTCTATGGCTCCAGTCAGAGCTCAGAAATTACAACTGAAAACTGTAAACTGGCCTCATTTTCTTTTTTCCAACACTGCTTTAGTGCAGTTTTTCCAACCATGGTAAATACTGAAATTAAATTCAATCAATATCTTTATTATTCCTTGATGCATTGACCTCTGAGAATAGAGGTTGTGATTCACTGCAGCGGGAAATGTTTGCTTTGTGTAGTGTAGTGATAATTCACATTTATAACACCCTTCAGGGTTCTTGAGGGGGATTTAAAGTTAGATTATAGCTGCTGCACAGCGATGGGTCGGTCCGGGCATTTTTAGGCAATTCTGAGCAACAAGCAGAAGAATTGGAAGACATTTAGGAATTTAGCAACACAATCTGCCTTTTGCATCAGCTGAGGCTTGAACTCACAACCTCTGAGACTAAGAATCAATTTCTATCTCACTGAGCTAATTAGTCAGTGACAATTCATGTGTAGCTTCACAAACTGACTAAGCCAGACGTGCAGGTTTAGCAGCCGTCCATGCATGGAACAGCAGATTTCAAACCACTGTAAAAAAAAATCAGTTATTAAGACAAAAATCTGAAAATACACATATTGCATCTAGACAGCATGGAGATGTTGGTAATTTGTTTTAACAATGATTGATTTGCTCCATAAGTGAAAAACTGATGTTTAAAATTGCCATTTTTACATTGACTCCAGTTGTTCACATTAGAGCAAAATTCAAAATGCTGTCAAAAATTCAGTTTTTGAGATAAAATTCTGAAATTTGCCACACATCATCTACCATGACTCTAGAATTTTGTCATTTTTTTCATGAACACTGAAGATTTATTGAGCAAGAATTTGCATGTATATGTTTACAGTACTGTTTACAGTCAAACATTTTGATGCACTGTAGGCTCAATTTTTTTTAAATCAAAAATCGGAGAAACCTAGTTTTTGTAGGACAGTCTGAAGATGCTCTGTAGCAAGTCTGATGTCAATTGAGCAAAAATTGTGGGAGGAGATAGGTTTAAGAAGTTTTACAGTTTTTAAGAAAAACAGAGTGATGAACTTCATAATTTTTAATAGGTTTAAATGTACAAAAGTTTCTTCAGTATTGGGGCTACAGTTTGATGAAAGTTGGTTGATTTGTTATGAATTTTCAAAGTTTTGAACTTTAGATGCTTGCTGTAGCGCCACCATCAGGACTATTGACTTGAGTTTACAGCTGAGGATATCTGGCATGAGACTGGACCTTTGTGTAAAGTTTGGTGAGTTTTCACCCATGGGAAGTATGATTAAGGGTTCTTTTTGACAGGACATGATTTGTCCCAACTCTTAAGAATGGGCGGTGTACAGATGTTCTCACACTGTCACCCAAATACAGCTGTGTGCAGGTTATTTAAATTGATTGGTTGGTTCCAGTCCAACAGCTTCAGCAGGTTTCTAAAATATAAAGAAACCACCTCAAGTCAGCGTGAACCATCAGTGTCAAAAATGTCAGCATTTAGTCTTCTTCTCTACCTAACTGTTGAAATGATCCCCTCCTAGGTTTGAGAAGCTGACCACTGTGACCAACATCTTGCTGCTGAACCTGGTGGTGTCCTCCCTGATCTTCATGAGCAGCCTTCCCTTCTGGGGAGTCTACTTGCAGCTCTCCTACTGGAGCTTCGGCGAGGCCATGTGCAGGATTGTCGGCACCGTCTACTATCTGGGCTTCTACAGTTCTGTCCTCTTTCTTACTCTTTTGACCTTCGACCGACACCTTGCAGTTGTGTACTCCTTGACTGCGTCGCAGGTGAGGGGTCGAAGATATGCGGTAATCTCTTGCGCTGTGGTTTGGCTGGTCAGCGGCCTGGCGTGCATCAGACCCATGATTATCCACACCACTTTTAAATTTCTGAATACGACATACTGTCAGGACTATCCTGCTTTAAATTTAACGTCTATTAATGTGGGACTGCTGAGAAAATCTGGATTTTACATTCAGCTTATCCTTTTCTTGATCTTTCCTCTGGCTGTTATTATCTACTGCTACGTTAGGATCGCTATCACTGTCATGACATCCAAGATAGTTGCCAAGTTCAAGACAGTAAGGTTAATATTTGTCATTGTCCTGATGTTTTTCACATGCTGGACGCCATACAACATTGCACTGATGATGCAAGATAAAGCCACTGGATGTGAGCAAAAGAAAAAATGGGCTTATGCTCTTGAAGTCACTCGCGTCATGGCCTACATTTACTTTTGCATCAGTCCCATCTTCTACACATTTGTTGGGAAAAAGTTCCAGAACTATTTCAGACAGCTGCTGGTGAATCGTTTCCCGCAGTTAAAGAAGCATGTGTCGGTCAGTCAACAAAGCAGAACCAACATGTCCACAAAAAGTACACGAAATGAGCTTTGACTTCCTCGGTTAAAAACATACTGGTAGCAATCAATATCTACACTCTGGTAAGCTATGTTGCTCATAGTTCTCAAGCCGTTTTGTAAGTTGTCCAGTCCAAATTGAAGCTCCTGTCACGTTTTTATTTGTCGTCATGGAACAAAAAAAAAAGTTGACTAAAGAAGTACGTTTAGGTGAGATACAAAGAAAGATGGTTCCCTACAGAAAACCACATCACTCCTGCACTGTAAATACAAATTGTTTTGCCTTTTGAAGCCTAATGGAAATGTTCAATCGTGATGCTCCAGTGATTTGCAAGGCTTGATCTTATTTGGCTTTTCTGTTGTGGTCGTTCATTTACAGATAGGTTTTGCTAACATACTGCCCTCTGTTGGTCAGAAGGTTGATTAATGAAGCTCTACATTAATCAAGATCTGTATGCTGAGTGGCAATTTTTAAATTCCCGTGCCAACATTTCTGTGCAGGACAGCCATGGTGTCGTGTCCCAGAGTTCTATGATCCCCAGCTCTATCTGCTATTAAAATGACTCATTAAGGAGATTTTATGTTCTCAGCAATGTCTTTCCCAATCACTCACCTACATTTTATAACCTTTACTGGTATTATAATCCTTGAAAATATCTATATCCATTCATTGCTTTGCAATATGAACTACAAAGCTAGCCATTACCGAGATTAAGATGTAATTTGAATGCTCCAGGGATGACATTTTTCTGAAGGCCAGTGTGGATGTTAGCTTTCTTTCCCTCGTCATAAAAGTCTATGGATTTTCTCCATTGGATTATTGCGGAATATAATCTCCTACATGTTTATTTCATCAAGAAAATCTTTACAATAAACGATATGCTATAAACAAACTACAGCACAGTCGCATGATTTCATGTCGCCGCCACAACAAGGCTGTAAAGGCCTGACCTTCTGTAGCCTCAGTTAGCCACATGTCAGCAAGACATGTAAAAGCTTCACAATGACGTATTTTATGACGTAGAGCAAATCATGAAGCTCTCTTAAGCTTGTGTTAACCACAGACCTTATTTAAGCCATCTAACCAAAAACCGTAAGTGCTAAATCATAGGCAGCTGACGTCTCAGGCCTCTTGGATGAGAAATGAAACGTCTTCAAGAAACTCAAGCAAGTCCAGTTGCCTACGATATAGCACTTAAGATTACCGTGACCTGGGTGATTGAGAATCTTCACCTACATCTAACAGAAAATCCATTTAAAAACACTTTGATTTAGAGACGAGGAAACTAGTAAAATGCTAACTCATTTACATGTTTTCGGACTCATTCCTGGGGCACTCCATATTAGGAGACATAGGAATCTGGCGACATAGACCCTGGGAACGTGGGATTGACCCCAATGTGGGTACGGTTATTAAAGGGATAGTGCACCCAAAAATGAAAATTCAGCCATTATCTACTGCAGAGCTACAGGCTACAATGAGGCTAAAAACAAAGTTCAAATGAGGTTTTTCCAAACAGCTTTTTATGTCGAGGCTTCAAGACACTTGGATCACTACGGACGAGCAGTATGGAGATATTTTGTGGTTTCAGTTTTGTGTTTTTGGACTTTTAATCTGGGGTGCCGTCAGCCTCCATTAGGTGGAGTTGTGTTGCTACCCCCTCTCTCCTTGGATCTCTGCAAGTGTTGTGAGGACTCTAAAACTTCATCTGAGCCTCCCTCGGCATATGGGTGAGTAGATAATGGCTGAATTTTCATTTTTGCATGCACTATCCCTTTAACTTGTGGAATAATATGGACATGAACTCCAGTCTCCCACATGAAAGAGATGCTATTTGTGTCCATCTGTCACCTCAAAAGGGCACACTCTCACTCCTTGCTTCTGCTAAGCTACATTAAGTGCAAACTATTTCTTGTATCGGCAGTGAATGTCGGCACTAGACATAAATGATGTGATGCAGATTTGTTTGTCATTAGTAAAGTTACTGAACCTACAACTGTATTATGTGCACCTCCTGAAAACTGTGACTACACATCGTGGCTATGGCGGCTAAAGAGATACCATGTGGCGAACTGTAATTGGTCACTTTGGTCTGCTTGAGTTTTCTACTACAAGTCTGCACTGCCAGTAGAGATTTTTGATAATGAAGACAAAATTAAAGAAGTTGAACAAAGACAGACTCGTGCAACCATCCATATATAGCGTGCTTCTCCAAGACAATGATTCAAGCGTGCACACTCATTGTCCAGTCATTTTCCACATGGTCTTGAGCCTGCAAACAGCTGTTTGTGACTATATTTGTTTAGATTTTGTAAATGTTTTAATCTTGTATTGATTCCTACATTATTTCCTTTTAAAAATGTGACTTTATAATGAATCACGCCCTTTGTAAAATGCTTTTTAAACTATTTAAAAAGAGCTGATTATGATGTAATATACTGATTCATTTCTTGTCTGGTGAAGTTTTATTTGAAGCACATTGTACATGGAAAGAAAACAGTGAGGAGGCTGCACCAAAAAAGGGGAGTTAAAAGCTTAATGTTTTGCTGTTTTTTGTTTGAGTTTGCTCTTGCATGTGCTCATGTAAATCTACACTGTTTGATTAAATCTAATCTTTTAAGTCAGTAGGCTGCACGTTTCTCTTTTTCACACCCTTAGAGTTCTGCAACACTTAGCACTGGTTAAGGGTTGAAGTAAAGGTTCAAATACAATAATCTGATGTTCATGTCAAGAAGAGAGCACCACCTCCTGGTTACTGATCTGGACCACTTCCTGCCACATCAATAAGAATTTAAGTACAGAGTTAAAAATATCTTCATGTGAACAGCTTGAGTCCTTGACGTACTGCTTGAGTTAGTTTCCACAAACAAAATGCTAACAATGTTTTAAGTCGTAAGTTTAAAGGGTCTGTTCACCCATCACAAAAAAATATCAGGGCTCCTTTAGCTTTTGTACTCCACCCCCATTTTGTAGCAAAAACGCCTAAAATGACATACCCAAATTAAAACAACTGTAGCTTCTGAACCGCTCTGACTACATGCATGCATGAGGTCTTGCCAGAAAGAAAACTCCCTGAAGTTTCTTGTGAAAGTGTCAGAAACACTCTAGGTGATACGGAGACAGAGTAATGGGCCTCTGAAGTCAGTAAAAAATTGAAGATTTTGACTAAAATAAAAAAAAATGTATTTCAGGATGAATAACTGTCTGTGGCTTCATCTGAGCAGGTAAATGACACTGTGGGGCTGTAGGCACACTATCAATGAACACTTGTTTCAAATTTGAAGAAGACTGCTCAAAGTATGACCATTCTACAGGGTTTTTTCCATGAAAAGATCCAGGCGGAGCTCCAAATGACAAGTCGGTCTCTCGGCTTCAAAACAGTACTATCAGTGATCAAACAACACTCAGCCTGCTTCAAACATTGTACCTTATTGAAATCAGGTGTGATTATGATAGCTGATGTTGTTTATGACACAGAAACACCATAAAATATCACCAAATAAAGCCATATGAAACGTGAAAGTTATGATCCCACTTTCTAGACGGGTTATCTCAGCCAACAATAGTGGTAGGAGTGAGACTCTTACCTTTTATAAAAGAGCTAAGTCCCTGCTATGTAACAGCTCCACATAAGATCGCGAGTAATCCTTTAACTTTTCCTGTCGAAAAACGGCATGACATGACTTGTCACTGATTTTGGACTTTGTGTGTTTAGGCTGCTCTGGTGCGAAATACAGAATAAATAAAAGAAACCTGATGCTATTTTTGAAAATTCGAGGGCTTCCTGAATCCGGCAATACCAAACATCACATGGTTTGATGATGTAGTGCGCCTGGGAGATACCATTTAACAGAGGAGGAGGGGAGCGAAGACGCCGGCGTCCTGGCGGAGTTAGAGAGGTGGGGAAGTTAGATTTAGGACTTTTTTTTTATGCCACTTGGAATGATATTCAAGACCTGTTTTACAAAACACAAAACTGAAGGAAAAGAGAATGAACCAACATCAGCTTTTTAGGGTTCAGGCACAATTTTACACAATTGTTTCTTTATAACATAAAACATGACTTGGCTTCATCTCACTCTGCATGTGGTATTCCACTGCCTTAATTCTTATCTTGCTGAGTCTGAAAAACATCTTGCATGAAATACACAGAGCCTCATGTGCATTGCCGCGTACAGGTTTCAGCCATGCCACAAAATCTTGGTTTGAAAGCCAATTTTTGTTGAATCTGCACTGAATTTACACTTCTTGTCCAGGGTACAGTGACAGCTAGCTAGCAGACAGTGGATCCCCTGCTCTGAGCATCCTGGGAGGAAACAAACTATAAGTATTGTTGGTTCCACTGTCTTCATCTGTGTGATGTTAATGCAAAGCACTTGATTAATTCTATTAAAAAAAAAAATAGATGTTAACAATTTCTTGTGACATTTGACAATACTGTACAACATCTTCGCATGTCTGAACATTTTTAACACTTTTGAAAGACTGAAGACATTTGAATACCAATTAAGGCCTTAAATTTGGATGAATAAATTCAACGCTTTTGAAGAATTTTTAGTCATTTTAAGGTACGTCCCCTCCTTTCCTAACCCTAACCTCTGTGACTTACATTGATTACACGAATCAAATGCAACACAGTGTGGGTAACTGATATACAAATGGCGTTTGGGGGTTAAAGTACTCCTTTATGGACAGTATAACTGCCTCTGTTCTGGACACATTTCGAAAGAGGACAAGCTTAACGTTTTACTTGGATATCATACGCACCGTTCTATGAGAATACCTTGAAACCGTTGACATTTTAGGATTTTAGTTAGTTAAATACTTTGATTTGTAACTTAAAATCTGCAGAACTACTGAACTTCCCATTGGCCTCAGCTGTGCTTTGTGTTGGGTGCAAATCAGCAAATGTTTCCTATTTCCTGGCAGTAGCACGTAGCAGTGCTGACCCATTACAGATTTAACTAGCAAAAAAAGTATCTGAAGAAAAGAATTATTTGTTAATTTTTGGCCGACACTAGTTGAGAAAACTGACAACACAGTCTGCAGCTCCACGGGAAACTTTGCAGTGACACAGAGCTGGTTGAAAATTGTCAGTGTGGGCAGTGAATAAATGGTGATTAGCTTCCCAGCGTACCATGAATACACATAACTCCTTGTGCCGGTGGAAGTCCACAGACATTGATGATGCGATTGCTGTCATCTTTTGCCAAAAGATGGTCGTGGAGCTCCAGGTGCTCGCAGCACCGGGGGAAGCCAAACATCATTCATCATAAGACACTGCACACACTGTGATGACAAAGAGCTGGTTGAAAATGGACAAAGTTCCCCTGTAAATCAATTAATGTTTAGCATTTAGCTCAAAGCTAACTACAGTGTCACAGAGCCACCAGCACAGATGTAGACAGTCTCCTTTAATTGTAATTTCTGCAGATGGAATTATAGTCACCTTCATTGTATTGAGGTGGCAAAAAACTTTGAGACATATAAAAACCTGGACAAAAAAAAAAAAGTCTACATGTGAATTTTCAGTATTGAATCTGCTCTTTATTTTAAGATAAGAGAGCAGATATAGCCCGCAAATGGAAATAATGAAACCAATCATTATTTAGCTTATCGTTTCAACCATGGTTGTCAAAACCATTATTCATCATTTATTAGACTCTCTAAGTTTGGTCCTGGCATGGCTTCTGTTTTAAAGCTGTGTCAGACTACAGTCTTGCCTCAGCGCCTAATTTTTCCTTCTCTGGCACTGCTGAATTTCACCCTGTATGCTGCTCTGTGATAAATTGTAACCCAGGCTTAAATTTCTGCCATTCTTTCCACTGCAGGAGAGAGGGAGGAAAAAAACAAGCTGTCAAGAATGAATAGGGGCTTCAGCAGAAAGTAATGCTTTTAGATAAGAGGTCTTTCTCTCCATTTTTCTCTGGTATTTCACGAGGAAAGTCAAGGCCAACGTTAGAGCCTGATATCATTGCAGTAAAGATAATCAGATTAAACATGTTTTGCAAACGGGGGAGGGAAAGAGGAAGTGAGGTCTTGTGCAACACAAATTCAGTAGAATCTGGGGGAGGTGTGAAATATATTTTAAAGTGATAAAGCGGACAGTTTGACACAAACGCACCCGTGTTGTTGTATTCACCTGTATAATCCAATATTTACACAGTAGTGTGAGGTATTGAAAATAACAGGTCAGATACTGAGTGTGACCTGCATGTAAACAACAACAAGCCACCAGCTCACTGTTACGGCTGCTAGGGAGGTGACTGTGTGTGTTCTATATCATTAATCATATCAGTCATCCGGGAGGGTCAGTGTGCTGTGCTACAGTAGCTGCAGTGTAAATCTGCAGCACTCTCACACAGAAAAAGAGGAATCTTGTAAGTTAATGTGTGAAAGAATTATCAGGAAAATGTAAATCTAAAGTATCATGAGTAAAAGTAGTCAGTGCAGAGAAATGGTCTGTAGGAGTATTATACCATCACAGATTAGATTATAATTACTTACGCATCAATATTTAAGACACATTT